CCAAACTTTCACAACATATTTAAGGTTTTCATCTTTGAAGAAAGAAAGCAAATAGCTGTCTTCTGGGTTTTTGCCCCATTTACTTTGGTCTACAAGCCATCTTCAAAATCTCAAAAAAAAAAACCCATAATCTCACACAAAAATGCCTAACCATCATACACAGAAGGCATATACGGTGCATGGAGGTAAGACTCCATTCATATACTGAATAAGATGGTGTAGCAGTTAACAGACTAGATGCATAATAGGAAGTACCCAACTTGAACCTTGGATGGATAATCCCCTATCCTAAATGAGATTTTTATGGTTCTCTTAGTCTATCCAAAATATATTTGGGCAGTACCTTAAAGGGGCCATGACCAACCTTTCCAAATACTTACCTTCTTATTATTCACCATCATCTTCTATACTAAATGACACTTTTCCAACTACACTGACTATACAACGTAAAATAATAGGAAGACTGAGAATTGTCTAAATGGTGCAGAAGAAAGCAATAATGGCCTGTTTTATGGAATTATCCAACATTTGCCTGAAGGAATTGGGAAAACCATGAAAAGAGCACAATCAGAATAACCAATAACTGGATTGAGACCCAAAGCCAGGACCTCCCAAATATAAAGTAGAACCAATCATTCAAGCAAAATGTTCAGTGATTAGTTTCTCAACTTATTCAATAATATATAACCCCTTCACTTGACACACTACTGCTAAATAACACGACTCTTAAAATGTGTCATTCTGTTATTTCTTAGTTTGTCTTCCAAGGTAATCTCTCTAATTTTTCAATTCCTTATTCTATCTCTTTTAGTTTTATCTTCTGTACTTCTTAAAACTCTCACCTCTGCTGCAGTTAATCTGCTAATATCTGCTTAAATTATTCTATTACACATGAAAATATTAAATCTACCATTTAATCTAATTTGAGTCCAAATATTTTTCTTAGTGCAATGACTTTCTGTTCTACATGTCCAGATGCATAGTTTGCCTGTCAGGTTTGCATATATGACAATCTTTTAATGTTACCTCCATGGCTGCCTTGTTATACATATCAATTTGCTCATTAGTGATCATGGCTCTTGCAGGATGCAGTTTTTCAGTGTTTACGGGCTCCTGCAGCGTCCACAGCACACGAGACCTCTTTGCAGAGATGGTGTCGATTGCCTGTTGAGTTGGAGTTACACAAGAAAATGTTACAATGTACAATAATTAAAGAACACTGAGACAATGGTCCATACAATCCTCTCACTATTAACAAATAAAAACATTATCAGCTGGTAGTGTATTCACATTTCCTTCTTTTAATGTGTAATTAAAACAAACACACAAATACACACACACACAAATAAATCTATAGAATTTCAGGTTTTCACAGCGCAATAACCCAGAAGACAGCAAACTTCACAAATAAATTTATTTTATGGAAAACTTTTAAGCTAATTTTAAATTTCAATCTTCCTTTTGAAAAACAGAGCCTTGTTTGCTGATTGTGGTCTTCTAGGTTGTGATGAAGTGTAGTTTTGTAGATGGTTACCAATGTTTTGGAGCAACATGTTCTTCTGAATTACTAGTAACCACCTACAAGATTTTATGGTATGACAACCCAGACAACCACAATCAACATCTTCATTATTATCAAAACCTCAACTTTCAGGACATTCTTTCAGTGTGAAGTTAGTTTTGGAAACAGATTTTTTTTCCTGGAGTTAAAAACCAAAGAAACAGTAAACATTTGATAATACACAGCACCTAAATAATAAGAAGGCAATGGACTTTAAAGCCTCTGTATCAATGGCTAACAATATTGTACATTTAAGTCCCTGTTGCCTAAGTAACCATTAAAAGTATTAGGCAAATATAGCCAAAGTCAATCTCAAAAGTTGTGGCATGTTAACTTAAACAATTATAAACAGTTCCAAACTGGAACTTTGTAAGAGTGATTTCTTGTCAAGCCTTGATGCAATAAATTATAAAGAATGAGATCAAACAGCATATAAATCTGTTCTTGAGGCATGATATCAAGTTCATTCTTTCAGACAATTCTTAGAAAAACTTCTAAATAATTACTAAACAGTATCACAAAATGAGAAATGTATATGTGATACCTACATAAAAACAGGTACAGGATACATCAATTTCAAAACTCTGCAACACAAAAATAAAGTGGGACGTAAATTTTGCAACTGTTAAAAAGTTAATAAATAGATGCAACAAAATTCCATAATTTATTTTGATTTCTCTCATGCATCAAATGACAAGAGAATCACACAAACTTGTCACCTGTATAAGATGTGTGAGGTTCAATGAGTATTCCTGTAGTGCAAGGACAGAAGCATTAGAATCTTTAATGGACCATGTAGCACTTCCAGCCACAATCATACTGGGAGGCTCATTCTTGTCCTGTAATACACAGTGAAACTGTCACTAGTACAAACTAAAGTGGAGTTATATGGAACAGCAAGAACAAAATTTATTCCTTCAAAATGCTAGTAAATATTCACAGATTAAAAAGTTTAGAGAGATTAAAAATATGCTGATTAAGTCACACTGAATTTTGAAAGCTTCAGATCATACAACAACAATAATTATTATTTCCTATTACCTTCCAGTTCTGAAAATCATCAATCATATGTTTTGAAACATAAGGGCTCCAAATGAACTCAACATGAAGACGAAGTTTTGAATCACCAAAAGAAAGGTCTGAGTGATGTTGATCTGGTGGAATGGTTGCAACAGTATCTTCACGAGGGTCCAGGTGGTT